AAAAAAAAAAAAAAAAAAAAAAAAAAAAAAAAAAAAAACAAGGGGGATGGGGCAGAGGGGGAGTCTTGTGCGGTCCACTCATATGATACAAGTTATTAATGCTGAGCCTTAACGGGCGGCCTTACACCAAGGGACATCTTCACTTTTGAGGGAACTTAGCTTCCGTACGCTGTATAGTTCTGATTATTAGCTTCAACTAGAATATCTTAAGAAAGAATGTTATCTTCCCTCAAAGTTCAACTATATAATACTTTAGGTCTATAGTGTTTGGAAGGTCACTTGGGGTTATATGTCTTTCATAAGTCTTGTTTATCTTATTAATTATGTTGTTGAACATATTTAAAACGAAATCGGGAGAGAGCTAAATCTTCTCTTTTTCCTCTTCTCTAGTTCACAAGACTGGAAGGCGAGGTTGAAGATACCACCAGCGGATACTAGATACAGGACAGAGGTAAACCTTGCATTTGTCAACTCTTTATGCAATTAGTTGAATTTATCTTGATTTATTCTCTTGAAGATGGCACTGTCAAGGCCAAGGTCTTTATTGTTCTTCTTAGACATCATGTTTTTCATTTTTTCTCTTTTGTTACTCAAACTGAATGTACTTTGCCTTTTTCATAAACTAGTTTAGTGTACATGCTATGCACATGTGTCTTGTGTCAACCAATAAGGTTACATACGCAAGAAGAACAAGATTCTTAAAAAGCAGCAATTAACATGAAAATAAATATTATATTTTCTTGAATGGTATAAATAAATATTGTATATCAAAAATAGATATACGTGCATTGTATGTTTACCCAATATCATAAACAAAATCTTAAAAAGTTACTACATTAATATTGTATTACTCTTTTGGAGTCGTAAAATAAAAGTATACAAAGCAATTACATGATATATATTTTTTAAAATTTATTTGATATTTTGACTTAAATATAATGTGTTTATTTAAGAATCTTTTCGTAAGGATAGTAATTCAAATCATTGGATCTTGATAATTAAATAGTGGATTGTAATTTTTTTTATAATTTATTAGATATTTTGACTTAAATATAATGTGTTCATTTAAGAATCTTTTCGTAAGGATATTAATTCAAATCATTGGATCTTGATAATTAAATATGTATTGTAAAATTTTCAAATTTTCTTTCGAGAAAAGTTGTATTGTGTCTTGATAACTTTAGAGTTGCTCCACAACATGTGTTCAACCCAAAAACCCAAGATAAGAAGAATCGCCTCGAAAATCCAACTAACTAAAGAACCAAAAAGAAAAGAAAAGAAGCATAATCTTAATCAATATACAAAGAAGCAAAAAATAATTGATATTGGATTAAGGCCTCATTTGATTGCACTTAATAAATGTCTTAGTTTTAATCATTCAAATCTCAATCATTAAATCTATTTGTTTTCAAGGTTTGAAGATAGATCCAATTCCATCCACAAAGTTAAATGGAATTGTATAGTATCTCTACTTTTTTGGTGTAAACAGCTTTGTATAGATGATATAGATCAAATTATAGATTTGATAGAAATATGTAATTATCCCTTTTTGGAGGTAGCCAGCATACCCTTAATGCTGAAGAGTTCAACCTTACCAGTTTCAAAAAAAAAATAATCTTAATCACTAAGTGCATTTTTTTTTCTTATTTTACAATCACATAATGAACTGAATAATTAAGATCTATAACAAAGTCTTAATAATATTAAGATGTCTATTTAAGATTTTGTACAAAGATGCCAATTCACTGCTACTCCATCTACTTTCACGCATCACCCACAACCACCACCACTGTCAATCACCAAAATCATTCGACATCACCATTAGCCATCATTTGCAATCATTACCACCAATCATTATTACATCCACTAATCACTATTGATAATTACCATTTACCATCATTAGTCAACATTATATATTGCTAACCGCCATTAGTTATCAGTATCATTCCACTGCTAATTATTCAAAATAATGCAGTTATCATAAAAAAAGAACATATATAATCAAATGAATGTGAAATGTTAACATGATATACTTGCAACAGGATGCATATTAGAAAAGGGGCGACTTCAAGTCATCAATTGCTCTTCAATATTATATCGTTTGTCATTAAAATGACTCAAGATTAGGGAAGATTCGAACATAATTCCTTGATGTGTCATTCCTTTATTGGGGAAGTTGCGCGGACTCTTCATTTTTGCTACCGCACCCGTGTTGACACGAGACGGGTGCGGATACGTGTGGGATTCGGTCAGCCCACATTGGATACTTTGACCAGAGTCCATTGACAAATTTTTGGGGAAAATTGAGATTTTGATAGAAGATAAGATAGATTTATGACATGAGAAATGACATACCTTAAATTTATTGTCCCTTTGTCTCCCTTTTTAGCTTTTCCTGCTGGTCAATATTTGTTTTTTCAAGCCAAACGGAGAGAAACTAAGAATTCAAGCGGTTGTGTTCTGACTTTCGGTAGGCAGTAGCAGCGATCTGTAAGGAGAGTTGGTGGCAGACCTTGAATGACTTTCTTTTTCTTTTTTGAGGGGGAGAACCAGAGAGCGTGAAAGAAGAAGTTAGGGGTCTTTCAAAATTTAGAATATCGCTATATCTCTATTTTATAATTTTGGATTGTTTAGCCGAATCCCAACACCCGTATCCATACCTGGATCTGTACCCACAGATCTTAAAATTTAGATTTTGCCGAATTCAACCCTTGGATTCACGTCCGCGTCGGGCACCCGAGTCCAAGCAACTTAGTTTTTAGTAGTAATTAACACATTCTTTTGATGAAGAAAAATAATATATAAAGCATCGATCAATGATGTTGTTCTGGTATATAAAATATAATATATTAAGAGTTCTTTTCCGAGAGAAAAAAAAGGTTTTGAATTTTTGGTTTGAGATAAAACTTAAAAGTATCCAAGTTGAATTTGCATAATTAATTTGAGACATTCCAAAAAGTCTACATCAATTTTGATTCTAATTTTAGTTGGACAAATAATGTTTAGCTTATTGGAATTCTTTCTTTGTATGGTATTTGACTATTTGTGATTAATTCCCCTTTTCATATATTTTAGGAGTCTTTTTTAATTCTCCTTTTCATATATTAATTCTGACTTCCCACATCTCCAAACTTCAAACTTCAAACTTCAAACACCTTTTATTTACTTAATTATGTGTTCAATACTACCCCTCACGTATTTGATTCTTTTTTTTTCTATGAGTCAAGCACGTGAAATTTCCTTATGATGATAGGGGTGGTGAGACTTGAACCTAGGACCTCTCCCTGCTCTGTGACGATCTAATCTAAAAGTTAGTTTTAAATGAGATAGTCACACTTCAATAATTTACTTATGAGGTTTTTCCTTTGTTTGTGCCGTCTTATTTTTTCTGCATGGTGTCTTTGAACTAAACTATCTCCATCTTTCCGCGCTGTAATAGTGTTCCTGAAAATCTGTTAAGTGCCCTGTGCAAAGAGTCTGGACATTGATTAAGAGTGAAAATGGAAACTTTTAAGTGGAATAGCAATAACAAGTTGCTTCTGGAGAGTTGTGGGAAGTCAGAAATTTTCTTTTTCGAATGTCATGCAGTTTTTGCTCTTTCTTGAGGTGTTATGCAAGGATTATTCATGTCATGTAATATGTAGCAGTTAATATTTTGGGGATTATGATTCTGCAATATTAATTTTCTATATTCTTTTAACTCTTAAGGGGCCATTTGATTCCAAGACACAAGTTATTCATGGATTAGTAATTTAAAGTTAACAATGTGAGGATTAATTTATTAGTAAAGGAAACATACAAATTTGAAGTGACTAGGATATTTTTGTTATTTTAATCCATGCATTATTAAAGCTCGTATTCTTATTTCACATTCAATCCCACATAAAATATAACTTATTCAAGTTCTATTAAAGGAGTATAATGCTAACGAACATTGTAATATGCTATGTTAAATTTTATAAATAGATTATTTCTCTGTACTTCACCAACCAAACCATGTCTACACAATGGTGGTTGATATAACAAGGTTAATTATTTTTTAACACAGTCAACTCAAGTGGTCATTAAGTTAATGTGAAATCAGTAATACCTAACCTAGGTCTGCATGTCTTGCTTTGAATCTCATGTTCATTAGGTTGGTTTGTTTATCAATTTTGGTTTCATTCTATGATGATGATGATAGTAAAAATATTTTGTAGGAAAACATTTTCCATTGTTCTGCATGCATGAGCTGCATTTGTACCTTTGCTTCCTTGCCTCCTTTGGACTTAACTTGGATACGGTCTATTTTCCTGGTAGGATGTGACAGCGACCAAGGGAAATGAATTTGAAGACTATTTTCTTAAGCGTGAATTGCTTATGGGAATTTATGAAAAGGGTTTTGAAAGACCATCTCCAATCCAGGAAGAGAGTATCCCAATTGCTCTTACTGGGAGTGATATTTTGGCTAGGGCCAAAAATGGAACAGGGAAAACTGCTGCCTTCTGCATTCCGGCATTGGAAAAAATTGACCAGGACGTCAATGCCATTCAAGGTTCGGACAAGAAATTCATAGTCATTTTTTGAAGCCTTTATTTGTTCTAGTACAAGTCATATTGTTTACTATGAATTCAGCCAGCAATCGGCTCTTTTTGGCCCCTAATTTCTTATCTTTATAATGGAATTGCAATATAGCCACGTGTAAACCTTGTGTGCATCGTCTAAAAAATAAATTTAGTACATTGTGGCACACTGAATAATTTCGTAAAGGAACTTGCAAAGCTTGTAACAATAAACATGCAGAAGTTCTCTTTTTATACGATTATTTTGAACATACATAAATGCCAACATCTGAATTAATCATGAAAAATACTTTTACGTTATGAAGAGCTTGAGTTAAACCTAGTTAAGCTCGAGTCGCTGTTGAGGTCAGCATTTATTGAGCTCAGGCTGGTTTGTTTGATGATGAAGCTGAAGTTCATACCTTTACAAATTGGCTTGGCAATGACTTCAGAGTTTTAGATAAAATTTAGATGGCAATTTGAAATTGTCAGTTGGTTGCACATTGAATTGGCTCATGAAAGTTGTTATTTACACTGGAGCATTTTTGATGGTGTGTGTACCGAAAAAAATCCACTTTATTGTTTTCCATAGAAATGAGATTTGGTTCACTCAGTTTTAGCTTGTGTTTTACTGTTGTCTGTTGTCTCTTAATGCAGTTGTTATCCTTGTTCCTACACGAGAATTGGCTCTTCAAACATCTCAAGTTTGCAAAGAACTTGGGAAGCACTTAAAAATTGAAGTCATGGTTACCACTGGGGGGACCAGCTTGAAGGATGATATAATGCGACTCTATCAACCGGTTCATTTACTAGTTGGAACCCCTGGAAGAATACTCGACCTTGCGAGAAAGGGAATATGTGTTTTGAAAGATTGTTCCATGCTTGTCATGGATGAGGTAATTCATCTCCCCTAATTATTTGATCGGATCTGTATGCACTGTGTTTTCTTGAGAGAATATAGAGAAGACTAAAATAATGACGTGCTTATAAAATAATTGTTTGTGTGCTTTACTCAGTATAGAGTGCTTTTCATGCGCGGCTGCTTATTTTTTTTAGAGAAAGGTCTGTTCAACATAAGATCTCTGGCATGCAAAGTTTTCTTTCCTAATTAATGTGGAAGAATGTAGCATAAGCTGGTTCAATATGGCTTTATCCAAAAAATAGAGAAGAACTCATATGGCTATGATATTTGCTTCAAACATACAAGTTATTACCTTTTCAAAATGAACACACCTAAGGACTGTTTCCCATATGGTATCTTTCTATATATTACCCATTCAAAAGAAAATGTAATCTTTCTGTTTCGAGTGAAAACACTGTACATGACTACTAATTCTATCTGCGTGCATACTTATGTCCTTCAGGCTGATAAGCTTCTTTCTCCGGAGTTTCAACCTTCCATCGTGCAGCTGATTCGTTTCTTGCCAGCAAATCGTCAAGTTTTAATGTTCTCTGCTACATTCCCTGTCACAGTCAAGGACTTTAAAGAAAGATATCTGCAGAAGCCATATGTTATCAACCTTATGGATGAACTTACTCTCAAGGGTATAACACAATTTTATGCCTTCGTAGAGGAAAGGCAGAAGCTTCATTGCCTCAACACTTTATTCTCAAAGGTCAGTACCTAACACAACTAAGCTTGGATGTTTTGAAGTTTGCTGCAATTCATAAATTCTAAAACTCTTTTTACAGCTTCAAATCAACCAATCAATTATCTTTTGCAACTCTGTAAACCGTGTGGAACTGCTTGCCAAGAAGATCACAGAGTTAGGCTTTTCATGCTTCTACATCCATGCAAAGATGCTTCAAGATCATAGGAACAGAGTATTTCATGACTTCCGCAATGGTGCCTGCAGGAACCTTGTTTGTACTGGTATGATACGTGGCATCTGCTTGAAACTACTAGTACTCATACTTGCTATTCCGTTCTGTTGTTATTGCTGGTTTTCGAGGGGCAGATTGTCATCTAAGTTGGTGGGTGAATTTGCTCTTTGTTAATTATGGTTGTTGTGTAATGTATTTGCATGTGTGGGTGCCTCTGTATAATGGGTTACATGTGTGTGGGGCTCTTTGATTCCCAAAAACTAATCCAGGGAAGTCAACTGAGAATGTTTGTGCGAGGAACTTCCAATTTTAGCTTCACAGTTGCGTCGTATCTTCATTATGCTTGGTGTTTTTCAATTCACTGTAATATTGTTGTCTATGTACATGTGGAATTTCTGCAATCTACTCTGACCTGTTTGATGAAATATTCTGATTTGACTATTGTATGATGATCTTGTCCTTCTGCCTGTTCTTAGATGATGATTCTGGCTTGATAACAAATTATTCACACCCGATTTCCTTTGGGTCATCTTTTTCCCATGTAGATAACTAAGTACTTCTTGTAATTATATTGTGTGATGTTCAATTCATTTTCTTGGTCGATTGAGCAACCTTTCATTCTTTTATGTTGGGTGCAGATCTGTTTACTAGAGGGATAGATATTCAAGCAGTCAATGTTGTTATAAATTTTGATTTCCCGAAGAACTCAGAGACATATTTACACAGGGTATACATTACAAATCTTTGCCCAGTGAATCATCTCTCTATATCTATATGTGCTATTTTCTTATTACATATATTTTTGCAGGTTGGGCGTTCAGGGAGATTTGGGCATCTTGGTTTAGCTGTGAACCTGATTACTTATGAGGATCGCTTCAACCTGTATGCATATAATATCTCTCTTTTGCCATAGAAGTTCGTTTAGTTTATGTACTTGGTAATAATATGGGATTGTCTCTTACAGGTATAGAATTGAACAAGAACTAGGAACAGAGATCAAGCAAATTCCTCCGCACATAGATCAGGCTATATATTGCCTTTGATCAGTTAGCTGCTCGGTTATGGTGCACCAATGGTGAGTCTTTTGTACAGGTATGCAGTTGTTAGAGTTCTAAGATGAGCTAACTGAGAATCTTATCTTTTTGTATGCAGATTTAAGTGCAGTCCTATAAATTGATATATCTTCTCAATGTGTCAATTACTGATTATTGTTTCCACTTTATTTTTACTTGCATCTTGCTGGGGATTTATTATTTATTTCATCACCCTACCTCGTGGGCGTGAGGGAGTATGAGCAAGGGTTCCAACATTATGGACAAGTGTGGGTAAAAGGTTGTAATCCTGTCACATTAGCGTCCGAGTGTGGTGTAAAATATGGAAAGGTTTCCACCTCTGATGGTTATGGGTAACAAAGCTAGCTCTGCCATATCTGTGCCTGGATGTGGTGCAAAATAAGAAAGGGTTCCCGCATCATGGACAAATTTGGTAAAAAGGTTTGTCCAAGAGAGTCAAATTGAGGCAGTTAACTGGAACATAGGCATTTTGATAGGAAACTCGAATTAATTAATGGATAGATATTCTTTAAAGGAGAAGAGTTGATATTGCATGCTTTCTGGAAACTAAATGGAAAGGGCAAAAAGGCTAGAGAGATTGGTAACACGAGTGATAAATTATGGTATTGTTAGATAAGATAAAATTAGGAATAGAGGTATTGTAGAACCAAGACTTGAGGATAAAGTTGTAGATGTAAAGCGAGTTAGAGATATGATAATTCTGTTGGTGTTTCTTGGGGAAGGAGACAATCAATGCCATTAGTTCTATGCTCCCCAAAAGGGATTAGATGCAGAAGCTGAAACTAAATTTTTGGGAGGGATATGAACACATTGTTCAAGGGATTTCAGGATACCAGCAAATCTTTATTGGAGGAGATCTCAATGGATAGCGATTGTTTTGGCTGAGTATATGAGGATATGGTTATGATATTAGAAATGACGAATGTAAGGCTGTTCTAGAGTTCATTTTAGCTTATGATTTAGCTGTAATTTACACATCACTTGTTTATCTTTATTTGTATTTATACTATTTGTTGAAATGAGAAACCCTAAAAGTTGAAGACCAAAATACTTTACTAATATTTATTTTGTATTTTAATAATAATTAAATGGAAAACTGAAAAATATTACTCTATCCGATCCAATTTATATAACACTCTTTCCTTTTTAGTTGGTCCCAAAGAGAACATCACCTTTTTATAGTTGGTAACAATTCAACTTTAAACTTTCCATTACAAGTTTCAAAAGTCTTCCTTTCCTTTTTAAACTCCGTGCCCTGTCAAACACCTTCACATAAATTGGGACGGAAGAGTAGTAATTTGTATTACATCTTCTCTAAATAATTGTCTCCTTTATTAGTGACAATTTTTTTTAAAAACAATTTGGCTGCTAGAAAAGAACTTTCAAACCTTTTATTGAAAGGGGACAACTCTTTGCTTAATTATTTTATAAATATGTTTTTTAAGTGTGGTTTTAATGGTTGGGATTATGAACTAATAAATTAGTGCTAGTTTTTGAAGGAATAATTCATTCTTGTCCACAAATTGGATTGAATATTGAAAATTAAACATAACGGAGAAAATAAAAATGCTACACAGAACAAGTTTTTGATAAGAAATGGACTAAATAGTCAATAGGCATTATTAAGTCACGTTTATTTTATTTTCATAAGACGAGCATATTCAATTTCATATTGCAAAAGCCACATATTCATACTCTTGAAAATTGTGACTTTTGTAAACTGTAATTTTTGCGACCCTTTGTTATTTATATGCAATATATCAAAAGGGTTTTGTATCTTACGACTCAACATAAACTCTTGGTCATGGATTTGAGAGATTAAGAGAAAGTGGAAGAGAACAGGACATAGAAGAGGAGTTCCAATTAGTGGACTTCATAGGATCTCTGTAAGTATTTCTTTTTAGTCTTTTCCTTTTGTTGTAACAGTTTTTTTTTTGGAGGTGGCCAGCATAGCCCTTAATGCTGAGGAATATAAAAAGTTACCAGTTTCAAAAAAAAAAGAAAGTGGAAGAGAACTAAAGAGGGTTTTGTATGACCTTCTGAGGATCAAATGGGGTAGCTTGACTCTTGTCAAAGCTCAGGAGATTGGGGAGAAGTTGTTGGCCATGAGGGCTTGGGGGAAGTAGTAAGGATGCAAGCAGTATGCAGGATAGGACAGTGAATTGCATTATGGAGGTAGCTAGAGAGGTGTTGGGGATTTCGAGGGGATTGATAGTCGAGTGGAGTGGCACAATTATTTACTATGTATGTAATTTCCAATTTGATATCCTAGATTATCCCTCTCTTAAAGACACATGTTAGCTTAGCTAATGTGTATCATTATGTAGCTGCTTCTGATTTCCTATATTAGTTAATATTTTGTTTTGACTGTTGATAATGTTTCCCTACAAATACTCTGTTTGACTTTTATTATATAATCTTTGAATAAATAATTTTAGAAAATAGTGGTAAGGTCTGTGTACACTCTACCCTCCATAGACCCCACATAGTGGGATTTCGCTGGAGTATGTTGTTGTATGGAATTTCCATATTAATTTTGTTTTATTTTGATTTTTGATTTTGGGATTGGAGCATCATAAGAATAAGAAAATATTATTTCAAATGGTGCAAAGTTTATTGACCTGTAATATCTATGGGCCCTCGCTCTACAATTACTCTTCTTTACACTGCCTTTTCTTTGTTTTAACTACCAATTTATTTTCAACAACATAAGTTTAAAAAGAAAAAATGATCCGCAAAATGTGTTAATAAGTTGTTCCAATTGAACAATCTCAATATTTGCTATTTTTCAGGACAATTGTGAGAATTCTTGATAATATAAATGGTGAAGGGCCAAACTTATCCCTGACCTAATGGATTTGTTTTAAGAATGTCCATCAACATTTTTTTTTTGAGTATCAGTCCCCAATCACCCACAATGCCGCTAAAAACTAACAGACCTCTGTACACTCAAATATAGTGGCTTACATGGCAGTGTGTGAGCGGTTCAGATGTAACCCATAAATAAATTTTATTACCCGACCTATGTTATATATTGGTCCGATTAAACCCATATAGCTTCCATTTTAGTTTCTTCTGACTAGAGTGCTTCAATTCTTCTTCTCAAAGTCCTTGTTCATCCCTCTTCTTAATCCATTTCTTCTATAAGTTCAAAGCTAGATACAAGTGCATGATTTTGCAAGTAAAAATGTTTATTAGGCTCTTGGCTTTAAGGACATATAGGAGTTGTGATACCATCAAAACATCTTTTAATCCTCTTATTCCAGATACACCAAAAAATACAAGCAGGCATCATTTGTCTAGATATTCATGATGGATTTTCCAATTCTCCATGAACACCAACACTCATATGCTTCCTTTACATTACTAGGCATGATCCATGCCACTCTAAAAAGTGAGAAGAACATGCTCCAGATATCAGTTATAACTTCCTGACGAAGTAAGGAGATTTCTGACACACTCTCAATCCATCTGATAACCTAGAAAGGTATTTTGTGTTAGACATGCTATTAGATATTCTAGATATGGTGTTTTACTAGGACAAGCCAATCAGGATTAAGCTACCAAATGCCTTCTTTTTTTGAGATGGCAACAGACTATATAGCACCAATAGATGCAGTAAACCATATTTAAAAGAGATCAAAAACTTTCAAAAAGGCTATAATATACTATACAATTTTAAACTTACCAATTCCAAAAAAAATATGTACTATACAATTTTAAAAAGATTCCAAAATCTCCAAAATAGATTCAGTGTCTGAAGAAAATTCTTCTTTACATAAAAAATAAAACAACAAAAGTGATTTCATCTTGATCTTCTAGATTGAGCTGTTGGTCTCTTCAAAGCATCTCAGATTTCTCTATCTCGACAGTCCACCAAATACAGGATGGTATCATTTTCCATCTGCTTTTCTGCCTAGGCTAACCTTCTCCCCTGTTCCAACATTTCAGTAAATCCGGAGAGTGATTTGGCATTACCCATGAAATCCCTTTCATACATAGATAGATATTCCAAATTTGTACTGTCACAGTACAGTGTAGGAGTAGTGACAATTAGTTTCAGGTTCCTTGCCACAACGATTGCATGTGGAACACTCTTTATTAGATTTTCTTGGGTTAAATAAACTTATTTCACCACCAACCAAACAAAACAAGCCACTTTGTATATGACTCTTGACATTTTAGATATTCTTCCATGGCCATACCTCTGTCATATTGGGAGCTCCATTCAGCAAACACAACAATCTCTAACTTTGTTAAATCCCTTTAGCATTTCCCAGGAACCACAACATGTCTTCACTTTGCTCCAAACCCATTCTCTTCTGCATAAAACTAACATATAGATTCCCGCTTAACTTATGTTGGTATTAGTATGCGGAAAAGAACATTGGAACCAAATATTGTATTAAACAATGCTAAGTTTTATGTGGAGGGGATAGGTAAAACCAAATATTTTGACAATATTGAATTTTATTTGGTGATTATTCTTTCCACTAGTCCCAACGTAACAGCACCTAACATTTTCTTCTCAAATGCCCATAAATTGGAAAAGCCTGAAATAAAGACATCATCCAATGTACCATAATATGTTTATGCTGCTTTATGAAAAAAAACAATTTGTTGTTCTGACAGCCCCTTTCTTTCACCCAGAATAAGGGCAGGGAAAAAAAGGCAAACACGTGGAATATTTATTTGAGCCATTTTTTTCCTTGCAGAAATCTCATGTTGAAGTTCTGCGACGCTGAGATGCTGAGAGAATGGATGACTTGGCTGTTTCATGGTTGCTGAGATAACTGAGTTCATCTTTAGATCTAGTGATGAGTTTTAAGTTAATCCTAAAAGAATTTAGCAGTACATACTGACAATGGATAGGTCCAGTCAGAGACTGGCCGTTGGTGAGTCCCCTGGTTTATGTAGTATTTGGCATTTGTTGCTGTTTCCTTTTCGCTGTATGTTTGTTGGATAAGCTGTACAAGGTTATGCTCTATGGTATTTGGATCTATATTCATCTGCGGCATATGGTAATGTGGGCATTGGTCATGGAGAAGTGATACCTAAAGATGTCACCCAACATGTTAAGTGACGGAGTAGTCATTTTCGTGCACTTATATCAGACGTTCAACCACTGTCTCAGTATGTGTGTAGCATGTGTACCAGAAGCATTGTACTCCTTTCAGCTTTTATAGCTTTTTTCCTGTTATGTTAGCGTTTGGAATGATGAAGCAGGTTATGTCTGCATGGAATGTAGTCAATTTGGCTGAATGTGAAGAGTATGGTTTTAATTTAATCTATTTCCGGATTTGAATAATTGAATCTTTTCTGTCTTGCCTCTATTTAAGTTGTAGTTTGTGAAGTTTTCCATTTGTGGTAGAAGAAGATCCATTATTACCCCCTCTACTATATGAAATATCTTAATTTTATCTTATGATATACTGTGGTCAATCATACAATTAAGGTCGAGGGCAGATAGATGATGGAAAAATTGCAAGTGGACCTAAAGTAGGACGGAAGTTAAATTTAAACATGTATCATATGGTTGAAAGGTATTTTCGACCCCCTTTCCTTGCCAGTTCTAATTTTAGTACACAAATTGAGATTTGAGCATGGAGAGATCGAACTGACATTATTTCACTCAGACTTGTTGAAGTGGTTCAACAGTTGTACGTCGAACAGATTGTGGCAATGCCGCATCAATCAACTCATTGTAACTTACAAACTACAAAATAGATTTCCTACACATGAAGTATTACTGAAGGAGGACGCGTTATCTATCATCAACATGACTAGTTTTTATATATACAGAGTAGAAAGCAGAGAGAACCAAATTGCACACTTATTATAGAATAGAACACACATTAAAAAGCAGCAGCAGCATGAAAATTACAAAGTTACTTTTTCATAATCTTCACATAACTCATAACATCATTAACATCCACAGCATCCAAGAAGCTGCTTCTTAGGGGTTTGCCCCGTAGCACGATACCTGGCTGCTGTCTCCTCTGCTTTCAGAAATTCTTCCCCTTGTCTCGCTTCAACCACAGCTCTCTTCTCATCTGCCTCCTGACGAATTAACGCTACTTCATTTTTTATCTTCTCTGCATATTCTGCTTTCTTATGCTCTAGTTGATCCTACAATTTTTATCAACACAGACAGTAGATCAATGCGGTCAAATATTAATCAGACGAAGAAAATGTTCAAAATTATTTTGATTCCTAGCCTAAACAAAACGGTACATTACTTAGTTTCATCAAAGATGCACGTATATTCGAACTCTAAGTATAGTTACCTCAAGTTGCTTCAGTTTAGCTTCAAGCTTTGCTGTATGAGTTTTCTCCCATGTTGCAACTGCAGAGAGCTTCTTTTGTGCCCTACTCAAATAATAAAAACAATGACGCGTTGATTATTCACATTACGTATGAACACATATTAAAAGTTGAGAATCCTACTTGTTGTTCACTTTGCTTTTTTTGCTTTCTTCCCATGCCTTGATGAAAGATGATCTTTTCTCATTTTCAAGCTGTGAAAGAGCAATATCTGAATAAAAACATGAAATAAAGCTCATGTTAAACACCTGAGATATGATCACTATACGCATTGTACAGTGTCTGCCAAAACTGGTAAACATTTAATACATACCTCTGTCAAGAGATCCTTTTGAACTTTTCTTTGATGAAACATCAGTGTCTGCTAAAATCAGGAAACAACAATATCATATCTCATGATATCAGAGAATCACAGCGAGTATCCAGAGAGCGGATAGTCTCTAGAGAGAACAAGCCCCTCAAGATATATGCAATGCTAATCCGGTGACTTAGTAATTCAAAAATCGCGTTGCTATTCAGAAAAACGACAACTATTACTAGCTGTGAAGTTATTTATCAGGCAATGATTGAAGGCAAACATCTGCCAAGTTCATTTTGGATTCTGAGAAAAACTATGCAATAATTTGAGAAACGATGAGCCAAGAAATTAGTACTCGTACCAACAACAACTACTACGGCTCAGTTCCAAACAAATTAGTACTTCTATCATTTCAAAGAAATTGAAGGGATTCAGTGTACACACTCAAATTTTCTAACTTTTGGTCTCAATTAAGCCTTTGATGTATCTTAAATCTTTTGGAATAAAATTTAAATATTTAGAAATTACTACTATAGTACCACCATCGCGATGATTGAAGTTGAAGAACAAGAAATTAAATATGTGCGAACTATTCATCAAAGGGCGGAGCTAGTGTAGATCGAGCGTGTAGGTTCGATCGAACTCAAGAACTTTAGTTTTCTTAAGAAATTTATTAAATATGTGCAAACTAAAAGAACTATAATCCCAAATTCATAAGCTTCAAATCTTAACTCCACCTCTGTAAGTAATATTTAAACGATGGCATAAAAACTCAAGATATCAATATAATAACAAAATCAGCTGTGATATTATACATCCCAATAATACTATATGTAAGATTAAAGATTCCATGAAAAAGAACACAGCCACAAATAACTTATTTTCATTTATATATATCAAATAGTTAAAACTATGAATCTTAATAACATATATTTACGGTGTAAATAATACAATATTTGTTATTTATCCACTATAACGGGTGATTTACCCTCTTTTGTAGGTAACCATACCATATTTACCATCAATAATTACATTAAATTGGTAGCTTTAAACAAGTAACCTGACAGTCTAAATTATTTTTTTATTATTTATCAAATATAAAAGAAGCCGAACTCTAAAAATTTAAAGACTAAGGTGTCCTATGATACGAGGGATAGGGGATAATAACCCCAAAATAAATACATAATTATTTTGTCCCATGTTTGGTCAGAAGTATTAGCAAGTTTTGAGATTATTTATCCATTATTTATACCACATTAGTAATGAAATAAGTTATCTCATACATATAATGAAATAATTAATTAAACTCATAAAATCCATAAGATAATTTTGCTTCTCTCATCCCTTATTGAACACTGCCCAACTGTGTAAATACTACTCCCTCCGTCCCAATTTATGTGACACTTTTCGGATTTCGAGATAGTCTATTTTTTACTGTAATTTTTTCATATATCTTTTAATTATTTTGAATTGTCAATTATTGTGACATATAATACTTTTTACGTAGTTTACAAATAGATAAATTTCATTCAAAAAAATTGAAGATTCCACGCGTAAATTTTCGATCAAACTTAAACTGTTTGATTCTCGAAAAACAAAAAGTGTCATATAAATTGAAACAGAAGAAGTATTTACATACTAGAAAGGAACCATAGTAATATTATATACTCCCTCCGTTCCTTTTTATATGTCATACTTACTATAAATAGTTGGTCCATAATACTTGTCATTTCATAAAATCAATGCACAAATTACAATATTCTTCCTATTTTATCCTTATTAGTTATTAGCCTTGAAGATATACATTTGACTAACATTGAAAAAGTAAATGAATAATTCATGTTCATTGTCAAATTAATTAATCAAAATAAATAATAATAAGCACCTAAATATTAAAACAAAAAATTGTAAATGTATAGAGGAGAATATAAATAAGGCATAACACATCAATAAACCCTTAAATTTGACATTATTTCATATTTATGCTCTCTAATTTTTTGGTTTGCATAAATAGACACTCAAATAATTGTATAAAATTGAACAAATAGACACACATGTCCTACGTCACATCCTACATAAAAATATTTGTCCTAGTTTCCTACTTGTATTATATCAAACTCATATGTCTACTTATTCAATTTTATACAAATTTACTGAAAGTTGGAATGCAAAAATACTAGTTGAAGTAAAATTAAAGAAAATATTTATATATTATGCTGCGTATAAATAATATATACCTTGAGATGTGAGAGGTTCATGAGGTAGAGTAGTAGTAGTAGTAGTAGTATGATGAGGTGGTGGTGGTGGTGTGGGAGTAACGACGTCGTTCGGAGTAGCTAGGGATGCAAGCGGCGGTTCTTGCTTTATTTGCGGTGGCACTTCTGCTTCCATTTCTTGCTATTTAGTTTTCAACAAACTCTCTTCCTTAATTTCTACAAACGATGTTTAATGTTTTTTCTTTTAAAAAAAAAATATATATATAAAATTTATAAGCAATTGATGGTATTTTAATAATATCTTTTGAAGGATAGTTCCAAAAAATTCCCACCGCTTATTATTTCATCACCATCTATTTATGGGGTATCGTTTCGATTATCAAAAACTTTTTCTCAAAAAGTACTCCTTCTATTATATAACTAGTCCTCGAATACATGCGTTGCACATGTATTCTATGCTAATTAGTATAAATTTTTTTAAAATAATTTTTAAAAAAAGAAGAAGATTGAGTAGAGCGAGAATTTCAGAAGAAGATCACACAAAATAAGTCACGTAATTAATATAAAATAAATACAAGCAATGAACAACAAAGAGCAAAGAGAACAAAAAATATTAAGAGCAAAATAAAGGTCTACACAACTAATTGAAGAAACTAGTATAAAAAGAATACACCTTTACCCCAGACCAAAGGCTAAAACTATTAATTTTTATAGAAGATAAAAGGATGTGATTTTTTTTTTCTTTTTTACTGATGGAAGCTAAAAAGAAGTAAGAAACAAAACAAATTTGTAATGTCATAACTAAAGAATTAAAGTACAATTCTTGAAATTCTAATTATGTAATTAAAATATTAGTATTTAATTAAATATTTAATTATTTTAATTAAGTGAAGGACAAAATGATAAATTACATTATAAATAATTATTTTAAATTATTTACTAATTTATAAAATAGGATAAAATTAATTTAAAAATTTATTTACTCCTTAAATTTAATTTTTTTCTCCCAAGGATAAACCGATAACCTAATTTATAAAGTTTTTTTTTTTTAAAAAAAAAGTGATTTTCTAAGAGATATGTAGGGAAAAAAAATTAATGCCTAATATGAATGAGTAAAGTACTTTTTCTAATATATTTTTTATATTTTAAATTATTATTTATAATATTTTTATTTATAAATTAATTTAAAATCTCATATTTGATTTTATGATTAAAGTCAATATAACTTTCAGAAAGATGCTACATAAACAGGGAGAGAAGGGGTATTTGTTTAATATCTAAATTCAGCAAAACAACTTATGATTTTTTTATTTGGCTAATTTTTTATATTTTGAGTAATTAAATGTTTTTCGAGTATAGAGTATGGTGGCTTACGATGCTGGAAAACGTGGCTTTTGTATATTCTGCCACCGCCATGTAAACTGTAAAGGATCTACGGCTCCACGCCACATTATTATAAAAGTGCTAATAATAATATATTT